TAACAAGTTCTAGATGCTTATCAGGAGAGACGGATTCTCTTTAATGATTTTCCATAATTGCTTTTTTGATAATATCAAGAAAAAATTTTTTTTTCTAAGCAGTCGGTTGTTTTGAATAAAATTATCAGATACAAAAACTTTTATACTCATTTATCAAATATGAGTTCTTCGAACGAAGTTTCTCTCCTTGTTATTGGTCAAAGAGAATAACATTTTGATTGTACAATTGAAGATAAGGTGTGTTTGGAACGAACAATCCGTCTAAACTAATGTTGTTTACGTGTAGTCAACGCAAAGTACAAGTTATAATCTCCCACAGTGCATGATTTTTAGTAATTGTTTATGACGAATCACCAGATCTTGCTTTCATAACTGATATGTATCATATTTTGCACTTTTGCATTCCTATAGATGGGTTGTTTCATGAATTCGTAGAAGTTATGCGATCGAAATATTGATAGATTGCTGAAAAAATGGTCATAACTGAGTTTTAATTTAATCGATTCATTATAATAGATAGCAACATAAACTTCAGTGTGATGTTTTCTCGATGACGTTTCTTTAAGATTTTTTGTTTTTATATCAATTGTTTAGCTAAAGAAAATGTAATCCTATCACGAACTTCGTTTCGTGTTAAATAGGAGATATTTGAATAAGATTTTTAGTCATTATTGTATGATCATTTCACATATAATTAAATAACAACAAATCTCTTTTATAAATTTCATGTTGTATCAAAGAAAAAAATCTTCAAAGCTATTGTCTTGTCAAATAATATTCACTCGATCAATTCGATATTACAAGAATAAAGTAGTATTCTATAATTGGTTCAATAAAGATAATTACCTTCTCATCTTTAAAAAAATAATTTAACACAACTATTTTCATATTAAGAGCGAATTTCATTCTCAAGGCAATTAAATTTGGTTCTTGCGCTATATCAAATATTAAAATAGTATTATTCGTCAAAATACGTGTGCCAAAAAAGTTAGTTAAAACTAATAAAGATTTTAATAGTCGATGAATCAGTAATATGTTTGACTAATTCTTTTTGAGTACAACGATGATAGCCATTTGAGTGACCTTTTTAATTTGATTGAAATCAACGTTTATGAAACAAAACTAAGTTTATTAAAAAAACGGCACATTGATCAACTGGAGGACACCATGAGGCATGAAAAAACCACAGTTCACAAAAATTTGTATTCTTGTTGAACACTCTATAGACGAATTAAGCCTACTGGTGAAGATCAACAAAAGGATGGTATTGATTTAAAGTCTATATCTTCATTTTTCATTCGAACAAATATTTTCTGACTTTTCTTTTCAAGGTCATCATGACAAAAAATAACAACTTTCGATGCATACAACTTAGGAAGTAAAACGATGAGACACATAAACGCTGTGCTTTGTACAGTTTTGGATGTAATTTAATGAATACGCTTTCTTTTCGTTGGAAACTGTTTCCTACTTGTTTCAAGATTTTTATTAGATATTGTTTAGTCTTTTTAAATAAAATAAGAAATTATTTCATAATTTTAAAGGCTCTTCCAGTTCAAAATAATTTTTTTTATTTATCATCCAGTTTGAACCAACGCTTCAGAGAACGTTAGTCTTGGCTAGGATAGATTACAGATAAAATATCTTTCCAAGTTCTCAAGATACTCACGAGCTATAGTCAATTCATTGGTCGAAAGTATCCCTTACACCGAGAAGGTTTTCATAATGCGGATACAAATTAGCATGTTGAAGTGGTTTTCAAATTGTAAGGTGCACTTAAGGCTAGACTGTAATAGAGTCTGATTTTAGAATTTCTTTTTGTTGGTTTTTTAAAAAACTGTTTTGGAAAAATTCTCAAAGTGTGGCCAAAGAAACCGGTAATTATAGTCAGTGATCTGAATTTTTTTTTCAGTAAGAAAAGGTATTCAAAAATCAGATTTTATTACTACCTAGCCCTAACTGTCTGCTGTAATAATTAAACAAAAATATCACTTTTATAATGAATCGTTGTTAAAAATAGTTTCTCTCATAAACAGTACACTCAAGAAACATTGATTTTGAGAAAAACAAAGAAGAATGTTTTTCATTTAATAAGTGTCTCTATTCGAAATAAGTCTGCTTATTTTGTCTCATACATTTGCATTGCTTATCAGGTTCTATTAGATGGCTTATATGCTGATATATAATAATGATCTTAGCAGTAAACATCATGCTAAACTTGTGATCATGGTTCCCTATATGTAGATGCGAGGTGAATATGAATGGATATGTAAGCACTGGGACTTTATTGTATTCACGGTACATATGTACATACTCGCACTTCTTAAATATGTACTATCAATCCTACATCATCGAAATTCAGATGAAATAAACTTTCGTTTCATAAACCTGTAAACGTTTTCATACACTGTAAGTTCATATGCCTCAGCTAAGAGGGCTTCCAGAAAAAACTCACTAAAAGAACTTAACATTCTTCTTTTGAGATAAAAAATATGTCACCGCAAAGCCCACTGCAAGAACTATCAGAATATGGTTAAATATTGAAATCAAGTTTTTCTCGAAAAATAGACTATCAAGAGAAGGGAGGAATCCTTAATGGTTGTCATGTAATTATATTCCGTAGAGCCTATATAAATATGGAAAAAAAATTGAAAATATTAATTGTCAACCTTTATTATTAATGTGTACAGATCAATTCAAACAATAGAGAAAAAGAGTATCGTACGTCGGGAATATCAGAGATTGAAACAAGATGTTTCCTTTCTTACAATAATGAAACATCACAGTGAGTATTCGTATATCATATAAACGAAAAAAGATGACACAGGACTATGACGATAGTGGGAAAGACTATTCAAACCCATATCCTAAATTTCATGGAAGAGCCGCTTCAATATTATGAGATTGATGCACTCACTACCTAACCAATTAGAACCAAATACAGAAATCCTGGTATGGATGAATGGAACAGAAAGTTAGCTTTTTCTGTGATTCATATCTTTCTAATTTATTTTTCTTATATATGTGGTACGTGAACCATCACAATAGTATAATGCTACTTTGAAACATAATAAATATCGCTTGTGTTTCTTTTATTTTTTACAGATATGATAATCTTTTTTTTCTAACTCAATTGTGTTAAAGGTTGTTAAAAAATAATGTTCTTTCTCTTATAATCGTGTTTTCATTGTTCTTATATGGCATTGTAATCGTTCAGCATATTCACAAGCCCATGAACTAAGTTTTGGTGTTGTAGATTCAATTAATTGTTCAATATGTTTAAAAATTTCCTTTAATTTCTCATCATTCATTAAATAATTTTTCATTTCAAAGGGAAATGGCATAGGTAAACGATTTTGTTCTTTATATAGAACAGCATGACGTCCTATGTAAAGAATTATTGTTGATAGTAAACGTGTATTCAACCATTGTGTACGATTAAGTTGTCCACGTATTAAACGAAATTTAACTGGTTTTAATAAAAGTGTTTTAATTAGACAATGAAATATAAACGTTGATATAAGAAGAAATTTTGATGTAAAATGATCTAATTGTAAAAAACCATGTTCTTTCATTTTTAAATGACTTATTGAAAGAAGATGTCTTTCAATAGACCAAAAATATGTTGATGGATATTGTTCAAGAGCACAATTCAGTAAATAAATTAAAACAGATTCATCACTATTTGTACCTAAAATACCCTCACTAGGTAAAAAACTTGTTATTTCATTTATAATTGTTCGTGCACATTGAAATAATTGTTCTTCATTTAATAATTTCGATGAGTTATTAACCACATATGATAGAGCTTTATTTATAGAAGAATATGGTTCAAGATAAACACGATGTACAGCTGTTAATAATTCAAGAAAACGAATACGACGATAATCAAGATGATAATATGTATCTTTTTGTTTAGCTAAACGTAAATTTTTCTTAAGCATAAAATAAAATATTAATATTAAACCATAAATTTTCCAACGTTGTTTTAAATTAATTCGTTTTGTAGTATAAATTTTATTTGTATGAAATTTTTCATAATCAGTTTGTAAACGATAATAATTATGTGCTAAAGGAAAAAATGATGGTTCACGATTATATAAATTCAAATTTGAAAAATCATAACGACAACAATTTTTACAAAAAAATGGTGGTCGATAACGATCAAGACTAATGCGTGGAAATTCAACTGGTGATATAGGTCTTGGTAAAATAGGACGTATATCATTAAAATGATGCGTATTAAAACTACGATATCGACTGGATATTGGCCATGACCGAGTTGGTTTATATGTGTTTGAATGACAATAGATATCTGATGGTAAAGGATACTCTTGATGAAGACGCTTGGAATAACGGTCACAAACAGCGGTTGTTTCAATTAGATTATCCTCATCATATGAATAGAAAGGTTCACTAAGAGAATTTCGAAACGGCCAGAAACGAAGTCTATGATCAGCATACATACTTTGACATAAGTTCAATATTACGTTATACAATTTCCATCGATTTTGATTCCTGTTCTGGGTTTTCGTAGAATAAACAATTATAAGCATTACTTGCCAAGGATATAAAGACGATGATCAAGAGTTATTCTTCGTACTATGTGATTTGACCATATGATATAATGTGTAACTGTATTTCATATTAGTAACCAACATAGGATTGCCTGTTTGTGATTTGAACCTGCAAGGTCAGAATTACGTTCGATGAGATCTGACTCGATAGCTAGATATTATGTTGATCATTTCATGCAACTTGAGAAAATCTATGTTCCATGCACAACAATGACTTTATACACTTCTCTCGTCTGTTTCACTACTAAAATTTCTAATAAACAGATTTTTGTAATCTGTAAAAATCATTTCGAGCGTTCTTCAAGCGTAAATAATAGCAAAATAAAATAATTTGAAAGTATCAATGTATCGTAAAAAGACATCGATTCGTGACTTATGCAAAGACTAAACATTGTTTATACACTTAAATAATCGATATAAATTAATCATATATACTAGTATCAATCTTGCCGATACCAATGATTATTCATAAAGGTTATGAATCAATTTCGACATTCTCTAAGGCTATCTGAGAGTGAATGCCTATCATATCATACAAATATACACTTTCGACATAAATCTTACACTAGTGACTGTTAATATTTTACAAGAACCGCCTATAGTTATGATTGTATAATAAATATTGAACATTTCAATTAAAAAAGACGAAAATGATATTTACTTTTTGACATTTGGAATCATATCAAAAATAAATTTATTACTTGAATGTTTTTTGCTGAAGTTGCTCATATAACAATTGAATGACTCTGTATTGTGCTTCGTTACTTGCAATTTTCGATTTGTTTTTTTAATCAGAATAAGTCGCACACTCCTGCTGTTTTCATTAAATCATGAATAAAAAGAGAAAAAAAAGAAAAAAAAAAAGCGAAAAATGAGAAAAATCTTAAACCACACGAACGAGTAAAACAATACGATAATGTATAAAAAAAACATATTTTTTCTTGCTTTATGAATTTATAATTAAACATGTTGAAAAGGATTCATAAGACTTTGTAAAAATGGGTCTCGTATTAAACCTTCAATAAATTCTTCTTTTGATATACGTTGATCTTCATTGACATCGAGATTTTTCATGATTGTATCAGCACATTGATCGTATGAAAATTTTCGTGATGTATCATCGCTCATACCTAATAATTCAAACATGGCATGTAAAATAAATAAAACTTCAGCCCGATCAATTGAACTATTTCGATCTATATCATAAACATTAAATGCATAACGAAGTTTATGTTCTAATGGTGCTTCAGTTGTAGAAACGTATGCAATAAGAAACTACAAAAAACAAACCAACAAACAAATAGGAATCATTGAAATTGTTTGATAAAAATAGAACTATCGAGGTAAACAAGATTTGTGGATTTCCGGCAGAACAACAGATGCAACTTATATATTCACGTGTTTTATATCTGTTGTTCTTGTCTGATAGTTTTACACTTCACCAAGCAAACTGAAATTACATCTGTAAAAGTATGATGATGAATCTATCATTTATAGAATAGTACTTATTATGTGCTGATAAGATCTAAGAACGAACAAACTGAAAGTTGGATGTGAGAAGTTGTAATTATACGACGTTGGTTATGTATTTTCAAGAGATCTTGACTGACTTTTCAAGCAGCTTTTTATGATGAAAATATTATTCATTATAAAAGACAATCTTTTGTTTTCTTTGTATGATATAGTATCTGAAATAATGAAACATTTTCTATCCGACAGTATTCTTATTCTGTAAAATAATGGTTTAAATAATCATTGGAGCTTTTTTTTTACTTTTATAATTTAAATAAGAAAGAAACAGATATACATATATATTCTTTGTCTGATGAAAATCTATTTTAATTTTTAGATCATATAGAACTGAATATTACTATAATAAGAAAAAAATATGAAAACATACCTCAGAAAAACTTATCCCATGATCACCATTTAAATCAAATGCACGGAAAATATTTTCACTTAAACGTTTAACATTTTCATTTGGACGAAGTTCTTGATAGAATTTGCAAAACTGTTCTCTATTCATTGTTGTTGAACCTGGACTACAGTGTTGAATAAAACGTTCTTCCCATAAATATATATCATTACGTTTTAATTGTGTATATTTTGCTATTGATTCATAAACAGTATCATCAATCTTAACTTGATTTGATCCCATCTTTATTTCTTTTGTTTTTCTATATTAATCTACAGAAAACACTACTTACTTACTAACAAGGTTTTTATCAAATAAATAATTGCTACTCTTTACATGTCACTTCTATTTTTCTCTTCCTTTAGATCGATTATCTACATACATGCAATTCGCTTTAATAGTTCGTTATTTTTTTTGCTTATTTCCTCTTTTTTCTTTCTTATCATTTTTTTTTCTCCTTACTAGCGATGAGAAAAATAGCAGCCAACAATTTCATGTTGGCTTCAAAGTATTTCATCTTATCCTCTTTTTTCTTTGTATTATTGTATGGTTCGTTTAGACGATTTTGTAGCTTCGACGGAAGTCAAAGTAATTTCGGCTTGTCTCAATCAATCAACCATATAAATCTACAGTCCTTAGATAATTGAAGAAACATGCAACCACTGTGTGAAATTAAAGACATCAACATGCTGTTTATATCTTTGGATTAATTGGAACATGACAAATGATTCAACGAAGAGAAAACCTTTAGCAGATTAATAAAGATGTTTATTAGAAATTATTGCTTGTATATGATAATTAAAAAAAAAGTAACAAAGATTTCATTAATTAATCATTTTAGAATATAAATTAAGAAAGACATGTCAAAAATAGAATAGAATACTCAGTAGATATGAGGCTTTTGGTTTCTTTTTGTACAAATAAATAAATGTATTATTTATTAGTGTATGTCAGTTGATGTCAAATTAGCTTTTTCGACATTTTCTTTCTTTATTAAGATTGAATCAGTAAGTCGTCGTAAAAGATGTTGTCTACGTTCTTGAGGTTCTTTAAGAGCAATAAAAAATCCACCATTGATTCGAAATCGAATCACAAATTTGAGAATTAATTCATCAAGCTCATGATTTTCTGTTGTACTATAAACGAAATTCATAAATCATTATGTAAAAAAAAAACAACGAAACTCTTACGATGAATATTTGCTGCACAATTTATCAAGTATATCAAAACATTGGACAGGATTAAGATAATCAAGTTTAGCTGATAAATCATTAAAATTCTCTGGTTTATTATTATTATAACTATCAACTAATTGATTACATTCAGAAACATTTTTATCATTTATTGCTGTAAGTCCTCTTGCAATACCTTTAAATAAAATATTCTAGAAAATATAGTCATATAAATATATAAACTGTTAATTACTTACTTCCTGAACAATAGGGACATAAACATTTTCCTGTCGTATTCTCACGATGGATATTTTCACACATTTTTATGTGAAATAAAAATCAATGTTAAAAACACAAAAGTAAATCGTTATATTGTTACACCTGTGAATACTTCTCAACCAAAGTAAAAGAAATCAAATATTCGATAAGAGTAAAAAGCACCTGTTTGTATCAACCCTCTTTTTTAAAATTGACTAGTGGTGGACGAAAAGGTAGATTATTTGAGTCTTAAATTTGATGACATTGCATTACTGCTCTTTTTTTTACAAAATAAATTTATATATATATTTATTTATCTATTAATTTTTGCATCTTTATGTTTGTATCAAATAGTCTTCTCTAGATGGCAGTAATTTATTATCAAATATTAATAAATATTTCTCCATCTAGAACACTGATAAAAACAAATAAATAAATTATTAACCCTTTGACAATATAAAAAATACGGCTATATTTAACTCTTCATCTTCAGTTGAAGATATATATATATGTAAAATAGAGTAGCTTCACATTGTATACATTTTCATTTCTTAACATATGAAATCGTAAAACAACGATAATGTGGAAAGGTTCTGCTGTTAAATGTCTGCTTCTACATAAATATACAGAAAAAAACTTGCATTATAAGTGATTATATTAGTTTCATGTGATGATAAAATTCATAACGCATATATATGTTGTCAGTTACTGAAGGATTCATATACATCCATGTGATTTAATTATTTCATATAAATAAAAATGATAACTGTCACCAAAACAAAAACCAGAGATATCTTATTGAATTAATTTAATGTATTTTTAGACTTATAAATGAAGAATATTGTTCTCCGATTCTATTACGTTTTTATATCAAAATACAAACGAGCAAGAAAATATATAAATGACAAGAAAAAAAAGAACAACTATAATCTTTAGATTATAGTTTATGTAAGTTTACACCTCGTGCTGTTGATATAGCCAATATATTTTGATCGAATACTGTAGCACAAAATGGTGGTGGATTATATGCACATGATGATTTAACAGTTCCATCTTTAGATATATGAAATAGACGTGAAGTATTTCGATCGACAACAAGCCATTCATCATGAGTTAATAAACAACATCGAGTTCTAATATTTTGACTATATGCAAGATGAAGCTTAACAGACCAAAGTCTATCTAACGTAGCTGATGATCTCGTTTCAATATGTATACTTTTTTCAGATGGATTTTTAATCATCATAGCAATAGTACCATTATTATAAACAATTCCATTAATAACTTCATCACGTGAACATGTATCTGGTGGTTGCCATTGTTTAACAAGTTCAATTGTTGGTAATAAACTAAATTCCATAATAGATGATCCCCATACCTTAGTTGATAAAAATAATGATGTTTCAGATGTTGTACATGATAACCATTTACGTTTTTGAAGTGCTTGAATATTTTCAATTGACATATTATTTTCATCAACAAGAAAAACATCACTACCATTTATAACAATAAAACGATTTAATACAGATGACCAACACATATCATAAATTGTTCCATATATCCAAGAACTTTGTTTTATAATTGTTAAATCTCGATCAACTAAACATAAATTTGGTTCTTGCTGTATTAATAAATAACGATTATTACAGGCTAATGGTGCCCAATTTTCTCTGGTATAATTGAGTGTTTTATATAATGGTGATATTGATGATAAATCAAAACGATTTATATCTGAATGTTCAATATATATTAAACTATCATCAATAACTAACGATTTAATTACGATTTGAAATGATGTCTGTTCAATTTTATTCATTTCACGTTCAAGACCTAGTAAAGTTGATTTTAATGAATCAATATCTTTATGTGTTGCTTCTTCTCCTTGTATTAATTCAGATATTTTAATACGCATAAGACATATTTCTTCACGTTGTTTGTCCATTTTTTTTGCAATACATCGATCAAGTTCTTGATATTTTCTTTCAAAAAAATAATCAATCGTTTTATGAGAATCTACACGCCATTTTTCTAATTTTTCATATGAATCGCCAATAGATTTTTCAAGATTAATTGATTTTAAACGTTCACTAAGTGCATTGATTTCATCAGATAATGGATTTAATTGAGAATTTAATGATAAATCATGTTCAATGATATGTTCTCGACAAAAATTTTGATTACATCCATAACATAATGTTCGCGAGAGGCGTTTACATGTTGTAATAGCACATAGTTGAGACATTTGTTACTAATTGTAACAAAAATTACTGCTTTCTCTGTTAGGCAACGTTTAAAAAGAAAAAAAAAGGAAAGCTTTTCTGGTACTCGACAAACATAGACAATTGTTTGTTTGCATAAGAAACAATTCTTGCTCAATGCTCTTAAATGATCGAACTGTAAGTGCAAAGTGAATTAATACCAAAACATTTTCAAAAAAAAAAGAACTGGGCGAAGAAATATTTATGTTTTGTTAGTGAAAGAAAAAAAAATAGTTAACTCGAGATTTTTGTCTACAGATTTAAAAGTTATTCGAAGAGAAATTTTTATCTTCCTTAAAAAACAATCATATTCATAAGTCTTTTTTTATTCTTAAAAATTCTTGACATATACTGTTTCTTTTTTTTCTTCTTATTTCAATACTAAGAATACTTTGAAGTGTTTTGTTTCAAATGCTACATAAGCATAGTATTTTTTTCTTTTATCAAAAGTATGACCTATTTTGGACGAATTATTTCAATTCATATTTTGAGCACAGTCTTTAGAAATAATATTATATGAATAAAATTCTTTTCTTTTATTTTTACCTGATAAAATAGATTATAAAAATTTTTAAAAATATAGAACAAATCAAATTTACTAAATTTAATATTTTTTGAATATTACTGAGTATATGTTATGGATAAAATTTCTTGAATTAAACGAAACAGAATTTTTCAAACGAAAAAAAAATCATCTAATTGCGCTCATGAATGGTAGACGATGAAGCAATATTGATCAAAAAAAAATAATAGAAAGTTTCTTTTTCGTATTGGATATTTATTGTCAACTATTATAATATTATGGGTACGCAAAAAATTGAAGTCAAGTTGGCAGCGTATACAAAAATAGTGTTTTTTTTCTGCTATTCTCTATGTTGTAAAAACAAGAAACAGTAGACCACTTCTTTCTCGATAATTCACCTTGCAATTGAATGAAAGTGAAAAGAAAATGCTTTCAAATACATTTTATCGATGCTATAATCATCAACACCTTTCAAAGTACAATTTTGAAAAAAAAAAAAAGAAAAACATCTACGTCCAACGCCTTATAAAATTATTCGACATATTTTACGTTGTATTTGATCGATTTAAAAGAATAAGGATTCATAAAAGGTAAAAAGTCGAATAAACTATGTACGTCAGGAGTCTGTGTGAACAAGAATTCATGTGTAGCGAAATTATTCGAAGGTTTTTTAGTCTAAGATAAGAACGATTTATAAATTGTCGAGAGGATTAATGAAATCTATGTTGTCTACTTTTGTTTTCTTGATAGTAAATATATTAGTGAATTGTGAATATTGCTAGCTGTTGTTTTATTTAAATAATTAAATATTTTTACAAATGTAGCTGCTTATGCTGATCTATATTGAAGCCAGTGTTCCATTATGAATTTTAAGTTCGATTATTTTCGGAACTCTACTAAACGTTTATACTAATATTGATCGCGTTTATTGGAGTCATAGGAAGAACTTAATCAAAGATCATTATTTGGCAGTGAGAAGACCGAAAGGAAAAATATCGAAAACAGAAAAATATTCTAGAAATTGATGTTTCTGGTAAATACTGATTCTAGTTAATAATATTGATTATCTTCAGAGCTTCACTACCTATATGTATATAATTCAAAATAACTGAAAACAATATATGCTTGATGAAAGAATACTAACAATAATGGCAGTGGCTTTACAAAGATTATTGTTGTTTTTGATCTGTTAACGGTGTATAAGAACGGAATTAAGTGGTTCGTGATGATGCAAATGAAGCTCTGAAGATGATCAAAATATTAGTGAAATATATATAGTTTATTATTTATTAAAGAATAAAAAGAAAAAAGCAATCTTTCAAACTCACTACTATGGTTATTTGTAGTATTCTATCAAATTCATATTGTTTCGAATGATTTAAAATGCTGACTCTAATCATATATAGCTTATTATTGATGTAATAGCACAGCAAACCAAAACAAATACTACTCAACCTTGAATACACAATCTTGAGGAACGATATTTTGGAGATCTTATGGATATAATTGAATATTTAGATGGTGTGTCATTTATTGTTGCTAAACAGCGAAACAAAAACACAACTATTTTTTGCGTTTTTTTTTATCTCTTAACTTCTGTATGATCTATGTGACAATATTAGTATTATGTCAAAAATAAAGAATATATTGAGAAACACAACAAGTGGACGAACGAAAAATAGTCAAGATGTTTAGAATAAAAGCGCAAAAGCTTTTTTAATGAGGTTCTGATGTGAGTGTGGAAGGATGCAAGTAGACACACACTAACACTTCAATGTACACCACACTCACCTATTTTTTTTCTTTTTTCTGCCGCTTAAATGTAAATGGCATCGGAAATACTGTCATCCACTTTACTTTTACATCGTACTACCAGAAAAATTTGAAATAGAGATCCCTAATTCCAATTTCAAAACTAGCATTGGAATTGGTACACCCATAATTAGAAGAGCTACAGCTTATTTATGAACTCGTATTCTTTTTTCTTAATACAGATGAAAGCGCTTGTTAAAAAAGCATTTATTCTTTGATTATAAATTCCTTGTCTATTTTTAGCATCGACTAATTTTCTTAAACCCACTATCTTGTTCATTGAAATATTAAATATGTTTTCTTTTTTGGTCTCTCTAAAGCACAACAGATTATTAACATTTAGAAGACAAACGACAAAAAGAAAATTCTCGACTTCGAAAGCGCAATGTAGTAGGTTAATTCACAAAAAAATGTATATCTGTAGGATGTTAATAGAGTCCATTTTTATCCTAATCTAAAATGAAGGAAAAGCGTAGAAATAAAGTGAGTGCCAATTTTTCCCATATGATGCTTTTAGATTGAAATCAAAATAAAGAGACTCAATTCAGATAAAAATCCTTTTTTCAAATCTTTTTTAGTCAGCACATTTTCAAGCGTAAGCTACAACAAATTCTTTCGTTTATCGTAATCAAAATTAGCATAATAATTAGGTAATAGTTAGTTACATTTTAATATACAATATCAATAGAATTCATTCTTTGATTTCCTTTATGACATAATAGAACTCTCAATACATGCATTGTATTTTATCAACACATTTACTGTGAAAATTTATTCAAAGTTCATATTTCTTTCATAAAAAAATCAAAAAAAATTATTTCGGGTTTTTATACAACATACGAAATATTTTAATAAAATTGACTTGATTAAGATCGAAGCTCAAAACGTCTAACGTTGTCATCACTGTTCACTCCACATGTAATATCTCGGCTATATTTTTCTCTTGAGTTAAGCGTATGTATAATTATATAGATTACACTCAATTGATCAGTATTTTTTAATAAATGCTCACTAAGTCTTCTAATAAATACTCAGTAACTTTTGCTCAATAAATATTTAGTTTTAGCATAGTAAATAGTTTGAAAAACTCAATAATTCATTTTAAAAGATTCAGTATTTGAGGATTTGGGATGTGGTTGTCGGTGTCAACCTTCTTGACAGCAGCACCAACATCTACACCTGCACGCCACACTCAGTCTCACACTCAAATCCATATCCAGAACCATAACCACATCTCAATGCCACAAATACACAAAAATTATTAATTTGCTCATCAAACATAATAGTTGCCGAGTCCTGAACATTTAGTTTGTTCTCTAATTTTATTAACTTAATGAACAATTATTTGTTAATTTTGAACTAAACCATATTTTATTCTACAAAAATCTATCAAAAAAAGTGATGTATCATTCTTCTCCATCCAGTATTTTAAAGTACATATAATTTTGACGAAAGATAAACAGACTATTTTTTTAAAAAAAATAATTTAATCAAATGATTTTTCTATTATTTTAGAATAAAAATAAATATATTATTAATCACTGTAAAAGCTTCAAATATGATAGTTAGTGTAATGTATTTATTAAGGATTTCTAAATATCTTACAAAGATAAAAACTAATCACCATTTAAGAATATGCAATCATAGAAAAAAAAACAGGATAATTCAAAAAGCGAATTCTATGAGGATGCATTATAACTTGTGCAAATGAACAACTGTTTTTGTTGATATAGCTAACATATTATGTCCGAATTCAATCAAACAACATGGAGCTGGTGTATATGAAACTTCTGATTTCATTACTCCATCTTTTGTTATATGTAAAAGACGTGAATCACTATGATCAGCTACAAGCCATTCATTATGATTAATTGAACAAAATCGATATGCTTGTTTCTCATTATAAATAATATCAAGTGGAAGTGACCAAATACGATCAAATGTTGTCGAAGATCTTAATTCAATACGTAAAACTCTTTTTGCATCATTACTAATCATTAGAGCAAGTTTATTATCCTTATAAATAATACCATCAATTGCCTCATCATTCGTACATAAATCAGGAGATGACCATCTTTTAAAAAATACTATTGAAGGTAATAAATTAAATTGTAAAAGTGATGAATGATAAACTTTTGTTGATAAATATAGAGAAGTATCAGAACATGTACAAGAAAACCATTGTTGCCATTGAATTGAACGAACTTTATCGATTGTCATATTTCCTTGATTTAGAAGAAATACTTCATTTTCATTTATGATTATAAATCGTTTTAATGCCAATGAATAGCACATATCATAAATTGGTCCATGTTTCCATGGAACTTGCTTAGGTGTTGTTAATTCTTCATCAACTAAAAGTAAATTACCTTCATGATGTAATAATAAAAATTTATTATCAGTAGCTAATGGTGTAAAACTTCGATCATTACGATCAATTATTCTATATATAGGTGGCAGATTTGATACATGAAATGTTTGATCAAAATTAATTAAATTTTTTTCTAATGTTAAAGGCTTTGTTTGAATTTGAAAATCATTATTTATTTTATTTATATCTTTGCGTAAACCTTGAATTTCAAATGTTAATAAATTAATTTGTTCATGTGTTATTTCTTTTTCTTGTATAAATGATTCTATTTTTGCATAAGTTTCATTGAATGTATTTTTTAACTTTTTGACTTGTTCATTTAAATATAAATCTAATTCTTTTATCTTTTTTTCAAAATACATATCAATCATTTGATGAGATTTTATACGCCATTTGTCAAGCTTTTGATAGAAAACATCATATAAATTCTTAGGATTTAATTCATGTATTTCATCATTCATTTTATTAACTTCAACTATTAATGGATTTATTTGTAATTGAGTTAGTGTAGTATGTTCAATCATATGTTCTCGACAAAAATTTAATTGACAACCATGACATAATGCATATGATGCACGTGCACATGTTGCAATTGAACATTTTTCAGCCATTATTTTCTAAATAAACATAAATATTAAATATAAAATAAAAAGCAAATGTTAACAAAAAGAAAAAAGTAACATGAATTCACTTTGTTTACAAAAGAAAGAAAAGCTTCGAGTGATCCTTGAATGATCAAGCACATATCAATATCTCATATAGCTAAAAATGAACTTTTTCATAAATTATGCGTCATAATTATAGCTCAAATATAACAAAAAACAATATATATATATATATAAATATAACGGATGAACCATCAATAATTACACTCTCAGTATTTTCAAAATTTTATCTTCTATTATTCGTTTAATTGAAACATCTTTATTTTTCTCAAAAGATAGCACTTGAAATTCTGCACAAAATCGTATGCTTTATTTAACAACTATGATCTCTTCCAATTTTTTCGTATCAGACTTAATTGTATAATAAAAAATGAGTACAGAATATGAAATATTTTTTCAATTCTTGTGCCAGAACATTTTATTTATCTTGAAAATATTGCTTTTATTGTTATATGTTTCTCGCTCATAATTTCAGCCAGCTTATTCCATAAACTGTCATCTAATGAACATGAGTCAGGTGCATTTGATGATCGACAGTTCTTTGCAATAAATATAGGACAGTGATTAGCACAACGTTTTTGGACTGTAGTAATGCCTGTGTACCTTGAAAACATTCTGATAACATCCATTTTGCAATATCAGGTTACTCGTTTTGCGCAGATCAATCACGTTGACTTTTTTGTTGGCCGATTTATTGATGGGAAATAGACAAGATCTTCCTGCGATAGCAGCAGTACGCACTTTGTTTCAACAGACAATTATCTGATTGACACTCGTTTCTTGTAACGAGATACGCTATTTTATCTCTGGCGTATTCAATTACGCTCAACATATGTGTGAAGGACTGCGATACTTAGAGAGCCAATAATGTTGATCATTATTATTCACAAATTATTTGTTGACTTAAAAACTATTCTACATAAACTACAATAACCTGTTTTTTTATTTATTCAAAGATGACTTTCATATTTATATTTACATCTTTTTGCATGTCTTTAGTTTTCATCTTTTTTTCAAACATATCTAAAATAAGTTTTGCATTCAATCATAAATCATTTATGTAGAATTTCAAGCACTCTCTATTGATAAAGAAAGATTTTTCGCTCAAGCGAATAATAGACGGAGAGCATTGAAAATATTAGTAATGCGATTATTTGTGTTCTACCCCTTATATAAAATACATAGAAGGAAAATCTTTTTTTTTCAAAGTGCTGTCTCTAAGAATTAAAGTGTTTCAATTAGTAACTATAAACAAATTATTAGAAAACGCAAAAATCAAATCTTATATCTTAATCAATGAAAATCGAATAAAATTGTTTATTTTTTTTCCTAAAAAAACACTTACAGGTTGATTGTTACTTTATTTAGACCATATTTATCAATAAACCTTACCTTGAAAGCAAACAAAGTTATAATGTTAAAATTATACTTAATTAATTCTAGTGACGATCCGAGCGGAAGGAGGTATCAGATTTCGCTGTCCAATCGTGGAAAATTTTTATTTTTTCTCAGCGGAGCTGAAATTCTCTTTTTGAATTTCGTTAGGAGAAAGATATTATCTCTTTGTGAAAAATCATGACACTCCCTTCTCCTCATATGCTAACTGCTTCGGATCACCACTGATTGAACCAATCGCCACATGAATGTCTAATATTTTTTTATTAATTAGTAAGAAATGCTGAAGACAACTATTAACAATATATGATCAAGCGATATAAAAAGTATTTGCATAGTTAATATTTCTTTATTAAATAAAAATGATATGTACTTCAATACAGAAGTTGTATATTAAGGAAAATGATTGAATGATCTATTGTATTAATTTTTTCTAATAATTAAAATCTTTATTAAGTTTGATGATATGTGTAACAGTAAAATATTTAATTGTTAAGTTAATATATTGAATTAATAATTATAAAACAACTTATATAAATAAAAAACCATATTGTTAGAATAAGATCAGATTATAAAAATTTAGATAAAAGTTGTTAGCTAGTAATATAGTATTTACACTTTTATTTTTCTTGTTGTCTTTATATTAGTGTCACTATGCCAATTGTTTTTAAAAATGCACCATTCTTATTTTTGACAAAATAGAAAACGAATTTTCCGAAACGTTAGAAAAAATATGCCTAAAAACTTATGATTCATGATATACAGGACAGAGTATCTTTAGACTAAACACAGACAGCTTATTAGAAGCAACAAATGAAGTCATCGAAAATGATCATATAACATACTCAAATATAATTTTAAAAATACTATCTTATAAGAAACGTTTAATTATGTCTACTACATGCTATTTAGTGAGACAGAAATGTAGCAAAAAATAAAATTCAAAAGGACAAAAAGAATAAGATGCGCATTATATGATCAATTTCAAGAGCGTCAGTTTGATACATAAAAGTAAATTTATCTGAGAACAAGATCAAATAGAAATATAGAATTTGCCATGGTCTAATTGATTTAAAGAATACATTTCCAAATATAGGATTGCTATATTAGTTCCATGGAAATTTTTCAAAATAACTTCGACAAAAAAAGTTAGATGTTTAAGTGACAAAAATGAAACGAGAATGGATATCAAAAGCAACTAAAGTTGTATTAAATACAAGAACAGGTTTATCGAAATATAGAGTCAATCATAAATAGCAATACAATATAAAAACTATATTAATATGTTCACTGTATAAATCGAATGCTGTCATTTTTAATGAGTAATGGAGAAAAATTCAAAATTTTTATTTACAAAAATAATGTCAAAAAAGTGCTTAAAGTTAAAAGCATTGATTTCAAAAAGGATTTATATATTTTTTCGTCAATCACAAAATATCGCATGGTCAATATGTTCTAAAGTCTTTTTTCGAAGAGAAGATACTCATATATACACAATGTATTATCAATTAGTAAATAAATTGAGTTCGAAGAATAAAAGCAATATTTCTAGTAGTACGATTCATTGATAAAACCAAATATTTTTGACTTTAAAGTTCTCATATGTGCATATAATGTATGCATGAATCTTTATTAGAATAGATTCCAAAGCTTCCTTGAAGTCTATGGTCTTTGGTTTCAAGCCATATTTCTTGATGTTGTTTTCATGAATAAGAACTTTAAAGGCATTGCTATCATAGATAAAAATCAGATTTATGATAAAAAATACTGACTTAAATCATGATTAACTACAAGTTTTATCGCCATATGAAAACAAAATTTCAATTACTCCAATTTCTATAATCACATATAGAATAACGAAGTTAATTATAATCACGGTTCAACAGTATCAATTAATCGAAAGGCAAAGCTTGCTGTCAAAAGGTGATCTGCTGCACCGTAGGATTCAAGAAAACAATCACGATTCTTGACGATTAGTATATATTTAATGTGAAAAAATACACGAAAACAAAGAAAACGTCGAGCACTAATATCTATCTAACTGATTCATTGATAATTTTGACAAGAACTGTGTCACAGTAAGGTGACTATAAAGTAATGAGCGGGAGCAACTCTTTTGATTCAAACTACTTATGGAAAAACTGTAGTAAAACAAACCACGAAAGTGTGAGCTTGCGTTCAGTTTATAAAAATTGATTTTTACTACAGTTCAGTACATTTTTATTTTAAATATGATTTCCTAGATTAATTTACATGGAAGTAAACATATTCAATTGTTGCTTATCACATTGCTACTTATGGTTGATGCTGTCAAGAATATTTTGTCAAAAAAAGCATCTTTTTGAATTTAAATTTCAAATAAAATATTTAGTAAAAATTTTGTTTTTCTTCTTAGAGTATTTTGTATTTTAATGTGTACATATTGAAAAAATATATATTTATCGAGTTACGAATCTTCCTTTCATAATGTTATAGATTATTGGCGTAGCTCTAACTGAAATCAGTCTTGTCTCAATTATTATTTTATTTCATGAAATGTGAAATCTATAGTGAATAGTCTTGTCTAACACTTATTACTTTTCATCGCTGTTTGAGTTTTAGAATTTATTCATCAATAAATCCATACAAGACGCAACATTTGTGCATTTTGGCTTCCTACTTAATGTGCACCATCGTCTATTGCAAAATTTAATCGCATTAAGCTGTGTAAATATGCATTTGCAGTCAGTACATTATTCACGAGCAAAATCTAAGAATTTCAAAAAATTTGATATCTGAAAAAAAGCTCAAAAACTATCGGCAGATTTGACTCGAATAACTTCAATCTAGTGTGTTACTATGAATATTTGATAGATAGATTTAGTGTTACCAAATTGAATTTTGTATTGAGCTGCTAGATGTCGTGCTTGATCAATTCTTCATACATATATATATATATCATTAATTTAAAATTTTAATATATTTCTCATTATTTTCATTTAAAATTTCATATTCATCATTTAATAATATTGATTCGTTTTTTTTTCTAATCAATAAATAGCAGAACATTTTTATGAAACTACGCAACAATACATAAAAAATACTGGTAAAATGGCTTCTCAATACATTGATTGATTTAATAAATCATGTGTTTATCTGTCAACATTTTCTTTTAGATAAATTATATTATGGCTAGTACTAAAATGTTTACAAAAAATCATCATACATCAAATACATCTTCAACTTCATTTTTTCATCAACAGCAACAACAAGCATCAGCAAATCAAAATTTCGATGAAGATACAACACTGACACAAGAAATGCATGTTAAAATGGCAAAAAAAATCGCTCAATTGACAAAAGTAAGCATTGCAAAAAGAAGACTTTTATTTATATCTTTTCTTGTCTATTATTTGCAAATAAGTGAAAAAAAAAAACGAGCACCATGTCTTCAACAAACATATACATTGTGTAGTAAAAACAAAGCTTGAAAAAGAAAATTGTTTATATACTGTAAATGTTTAAACGGCTGCACCCGTTTCATTAATTGATGTTGTTTTATATATTGGAACAGTTGTGACAGTCGTTGTAGTAGAAGTGAATCCTTCTGCATCAAGAGCCGTATTAGGTGCAAGAATTTTACGTAAAAGTTCGTCTCGAAGACAACCTTCAATAAATTCAGTACGGTGAACTACATCTAAACATATATATATATATATAATATATATATAAAGATAAGTTCGATACAGAATTGAGTCTTTTACCAGCTTTATCTTTACTGAAACGTTGCATAATAAGGTTAACACGTTTATCAGGTGCTTTATCACCAGTACGATCTTCTTCATTAGCTAAATCATACATAGCTTCGATTATTTTAATCATATCTTTACGATTTATTTGTCCATCTTTATTTTGATCTAAAGTTAATAAAGAAATAATAATTTAAAAATGAAATAAAACAAAATTTTACCATAAATATCAAAAGCCATTCCTAATTTTTCTCGAAGACTTCCATGTTGAGATACACCAACAGCTTGTCTTAATAGACAAAAAATAAAATACTAATTAGAACTAAAAAAAGAAAAGTTAATTAATTCTGTTTACAAGAATTCAGTGAAATCAATCCAATTATTATTGTCTGTATCGAATGCTTTAAATACAAAATTACAATATTTATCAGCTTTACCCTCCGGATAAAATTTCTAATATGGAAAAAAAAAATTGAATAAAATTTACAAATTATTTAAATAGAAAAAAAAACTTACCTTATAAACATTAAGAAATTGTTTTTTATCTAGTTTACCCGACGGACAATCTTTAAGAAAACCAGTATGCCATGCTTGAATTTGTTCTTCTGAATATTTAGTATTGTCTTTTAATATTTTCATATCTTCTTCAGTTAATATAGTCGGATCTTTTTTGCCTTTACTACTTGATTTGTTGCCCATATTGTTAATATAAAAAAAAGAATAATCTAAAAAAAAGTAGTTTTTGTTCTTTCAAATTTCTGTTGTTTTTCTTTACTCTACAGTAAAAGTATCTAACGATAGTAAACAATCTACATAGATATTTTTTCTTATGCACACCTCAATAAAAATAAGAAGCTATATGTAATTTAAACATGCATGACGTACGGTTTGAAGTTTTTCTTTTTTTTTTTGTTTTTTTCGAATATATGTTACAGCGTCAGATTGTGTACAAATCATTTACAGGCAAGAGTGGCTATGCACAAAGTGCGCGACAAAAAAAAATGGTTACAGCACGTCTCGTGTGTAACGGGTAAAGACGAAGAAGAAAAGAAAAGAGTATAGAGAAGCGAACACATATACACGGAAAGAGAGGGAGAAAAAGAAAGCAAGCGAACGCGTTACGAACGAGTAAAAGAAATGTTGAAACCTTGTGCATGCATGCAGTGTGGCAATGGTTATGTTGTATACATACAGACACTGCGGTTTAATATGCGAGGCGTTGTACACTGTACATACGTTCGTTCTCTTCGATTCTTTATTTTTTCTACAGCAGTAATCATGAACAATATTGTAAGAAAGAGAATGCGACGAATAAAACGAAAAAAAATAATAATAATAACAGATACTTTGTGTCCATATCGGTAAAAGAAAATAGTATATGTCAATAGAAGGATTTGCTCTTTTCTTTTTTTCAATTCATATCGATTAGCTTGGCCTTCTCATGCATGCTAATCATATTTGAATAAGGAAGACAGTGCCCTTTTTATGTGCCAGTTGTTCTTGCTATAGCCATTAAAACTAACAAAAATATATTGTTACACTATAATACAAACATTAGAGATAACAATGTACTCTGATTTTTCTCTATTGACTCCTCTATCGCGTGCTGTTTTTTTTGTATGTTACGGTTTTGTTTATTTGATCATTGGTAACATCATTTTATCGCCAACCTTTGACAGATCGCTGTTTGAGTAGTTCTTTATTTCCACCTCTGTACATGCGTATACCGAATTTTGATAGGAAAAGAATGTAATCAGAAAGTAATCTTACTGACAGTTAGTAATGATAATTGGTAATCTTAAATGATAGTATAAATCATTTGTTAGTGGAAATTAGAAAAGTAATTATTGAAGTAGATCGAAAATAGAACATTGATGTGTTTATATATTTGCTCAAAGCTAAAAGAAAGGGAAAAAATAGAAAATCAATTAATATATCCTTTTAGAGTAAATAATGGAAAAAAGCACAGGTGTTTATTTATTCATGCATTAATGTAATACAAATATAAATTAAAAAAACAATCATTTCTATTAGTTTTTCTAGCTTTAAAAACAGATTTCATATGGAATATAATTAAAAATTGATTTTGAAATTTTATTTTCTTTGTCAAATATTTGTATTATTTACTGTTCACTATTGACTTCAGAATAACAATTATTAGACAAATAAGCCAAACTAACAAAAAAACATATGTTTAATATTTTTCGTAAGTGATAGAAGTTATTTGACATTTGTCGATGTGTTCTGTAATATACGATGATATTGCTCTTCTATCAACGATGCTTCAATCAAAGCTTGCTCGAGTTATAGACTTTAACCTATCAAACATGTTTGATGTATAATACAACTAGACATATAACGATAAAAACATACAACTTTCTTTTTCATTTAATAGAAAAAACGTTATTATCGAAAACTCATTTGTTCAAACATCTTATTTAATAATTCAGAAACAGTTATATAATCTTTGTTTAGAATACATTTTCCTATGGTATTAATAGTTCAATAGGATTCAATTAAAATAATCAATATAAACATTTCAGTAAAAATATTCTTGTAATAAAATGAGTATAATAAAGCAATTAATTTCTATAAAACTGATACAAAAGCTAATAGAACAAGAAACTCGAGTATAAAACATTACTTTGTAATATGATTATTTTTTCTGAGAATAATCGGATTTGTTTAACAGTGATTAATTATTCATAGATATTTTAATAACTCATACCTCTCGATTTATAAATTTATGAATAATTCACATTTATAAAAATTTTACTGATTTATTTGCATAATTCTGTAAATCTATGACATTTTTGGTACATTCATAATCAACATTGATTTTAGGCACGTAAAATATGATATTTTAACAGAATGTAATAACAAATAAAAGAAATGACAAACCCTAAAAATAAAAATGATGTCAACTAGTTTGACTTACGTCATGAACTATGAATATTTCTTCAATATTTAGGTCATTTATGCATTAAATACAAAAGCTGATGAACATGAAACAATAGTATCTAATTTAAAACAAACATTTGAACAGGAAAAACTTGCTTTAGCAAATAATGCTTCATCTAAAATTGATGATTTACTTCATCGTGTTGAAAAACTTTCATCAATTAAAAATACACAAAATTCTATATATGAAAATAAAATTCAAATGCTTGAAACCGATAAGTAAATTGTTTTTTTTTCCAATAAAGCTAAAAGATTTCAATTCCATCGAATATATTTTAGGCAAAATCATGCTAATGAACTTTTACGTATTCAACAATCATCGATTGAACATGAACATGAAATAGCTGAAGATTTTCGTTTAAAAATTGCTCATCTCAAACAAAATATCAATCAAATAAAACAATCTTATGATGAACGTTTATCAAATCTTAATAAAGAAAATAAAAAAACAATTGAAAAACTTCATGAAGAACATCAATTAGAAATTGATAATTTAAAAAGTGAATTAAAACGTTTATTTGATATTGAAAATGAAGCACAAACAAAATTTTATATACAAACAATTGAAGATTTAAAACGTGAACATAATGATTTATTAACAAGACAAAAACATCAACAAATGACACAAGATGAATTAGGACAAGAATATTTCAAAGAAAAACATCAATTAGAAAAACAAATTAAACTTTTTCAAGATCAAATCGAACAAATTAATATAAAATCTCAATTAGAATTAAGTGAACAAAAAAATCAATTAGATATTAAAATTAATGAATATAAACAATTATATGATGAATTTGAACAATATAAATTAAATTTTAATGCTAATTCAAGTGATATGACAGAACTTAATCAACAAGTAAGTGAACACAAAAAGAAAATTAGAAGAAGAAATTGATTATTATTTAATTTATTATTTAGTTAATAAAACAACGCAATGAATACGAAGAATTGAAAAAGAAATTAGATAAAACTAATCGTGAAATGAATACAGTTAAAGAACGATTTAATCGACAAGCTAATGAACTTGAAGATAAATTAAGTAAGAAATTAAGTTGAAAATAATATCTTTTCTTCTCTTATAAAGAAAATTCCTAAACTAATTAATCGCTTAATAATCTGATCTATGTCTATCATCTAGATCCTAATTAGCTATCAACACCTTGACAATAGTTCGGGCCCTTAGCATATTGCTGCTAAGATGCTATATTTTTCCAGTACTTTTTTAAGTCAATATCGTGGCTGTCCTTAGCGAAACTCATTATCAAATTTCGACACAAATCTTTGTATAGAGTTAGTCCTTAATAAGAATAGTTTATCTTAGGATGAAAGCGATGAAATGATCTGAAACTTTCATAATAACTTATTCTCATTAAGCTCCGTCTCTATATAATAAAGTTTCAAGTCGAAAATGAGTTTGCTTAGTGTTTTTAAAGTGTACCAAGACATTGACTAAAAAATTACTGTATAAACGCAGCATTTCAACAGCAATCAGCGAAAGACTCGAACTCATTTTTAGAGTGTTCATAGTTCATTAGCGTTTACATTATGTAGATTGTCTCCTATTGACAGCAATTAACCAGTTGGAGAACTTTGCTCCCCTCCCCTCGTTAGTTTGAATTGAAATATTAACGTTTGATATTCTTGAGAAAATTTTCCCTAGTATTCATTTCTTTTCTGTGTATTTAATAAGAAAACTAACTTGTAAGAAGCTATTAATTCAAAAAATGGAGAGCTCTTTTTATCTTGTGAAAAAAGTCAAATCGTGTAAAAAAAAACACATTTGAATTGCAACGATCGTTGTGCTTCTTTTTTTGGTTTCTTTCTTTTAATAAATCAATTCAACAGGAACTCTCTGTATGAGAATTCACCATGTCTAATAATGAAAAAATTGAACTTAAAATATCTCCTTGACCTTTTCTGTTTTACCTTTCATTGACACAACAATTTGTGGAAATTTAAGATACGAAAATTTGAATGTAGATTGAATAGTTTATGAATTCAAGAATAAGAATCAAAAGAAACGATCATCACTTGCACAACATGCCTCTCCATCACTTGAAAAGACAATTATATATTCAAAAGCTTAAATTTAATACATATCAAACTACAATGCTCTCGAAAATTCATTCATTTCTATGTGCAATATGATCTTTTTTTTTAATAAAAACCAAATTGAATTTGTTGCATAAGAAAAAAGCAAAGAATGAAATGAAAAAGATACATCCTTCACATGTACTTGTGATTTCTAGTTTCACAGGTTTTATTTCTTCTGCTATAAAATCATGCTTTGCAAAGAGATCTCATCGAATAAATTGATCGGACTCTTACATCATTAATAAGTTTTTCAATAAAATGCTGTAATCTCCCCTTTGGATTATCTTCAAATTGACTTACAAGTGTCAAACACTTATTTTGCATAAATAAAGTTCTCAACGGAACTCGTTTATTTTGAAAGTATCAGATTTTCTAATATATCTTATCTTCAAATATCATAATACAAAAAAATTTGTTATGCAAAAAAAAGCAAACAGTATTCTTATATTCATATTTTACAACAGGAAATGTTAGAAAGTTTGATAATTTCATAATGAACTAGTCTAGTTGCGAACTTTATTCGTATGAAATTCGAACTCGAAAGTCAATTTTCACGATTATTTGAGAGAGGCTATGGTTTTTTATTGAACAACTTACTAAAATGATCATAATTCGAGAAGATATACCTATGAAAGCTGTACCTAGTCTTAAGTTACCCAACAAAAATCGATCTTGAACCACGCACATTCAAGTCACATGCAATTTTCAGTCATATATCATGATGTTTTCAAGAATTATTCAACAAACCAGGATCAAAACTAGTTCATTTGACAACCGAAAATTATCTATACACCTTGATTCTATATACTTAATTTCTTTTTGTTTGAAAATGCATGCCAGACTACATTTCCTAGACAAGTTTTATTTTTAAATACTTATTTTCTACGCAGATGAATGGATGACTGGTTGAATACCTTCAAAGCCTTTTAAAAATGTTCATCTTTTTATAGAAGTGCTTTTTTTTGTGTCATAATAAAAAGACTTAATTCAAAAAATGCGCACTACAGTTTCATGTACTCTTTCAGATGAAAAAAACAACAGCAATTATCTACAATGTAGCTTTTTCAAGAATGCTGGAGCGAGCGATCTAAAAATATCATAAGAAAATTTCCTAACCATTTCTAAAAAACAAGATAGTAAATAAAAAATCATGTCTTTATTGAAAGATCAGACTACGGATTATCAAATCAATGTCAATTTTTCTGTCGAAAAGGTTTAATAGAGTCTATCTGATGGTATAATGTCCTATTTACAATTCATAAGATTTTTACTTTTCCTTATCGTCTTCCTTTGTCAAAACCAAAATTATGAAAATCATATCAATACCTCTCTTTTTTACAGTTAATAATATTAATGTATTTATAATAATTATATGATTATAGAACTTCTCAAAGATAAAGATTCTTTAAATCATCAATTAGAAGATGATTTAACAAATAGTCGTAAAGAATTAGAACTAACAAAACAACGTTTACGACAAATCGAAGAAGATCAACATGCTCAATTATCTCAATCAGAATCAACAACAAATTATCTCGAACGACGTATTCATGAATTGGATAAAGTATTAATCTTTTGTTGTTGTTTCTTTTTTTTCTCTTAAACTTCTTCTTTGTCTTTAACATAGACAATACATCAATTAACAATTGAAAAACAACAAGTTATGTTAAAATATGATCGTGAATTAACAGATTTACGTGAAACTTATGAAAATCAGGTAACATTATGTAAGAAAGAAATGCAAAATGAACTTGATCGTTTAAATGAACATTATCAACAATTATCAAATGATGAACAAATACGAGCACGTACAACATTAGAATTAAAACAACAAGTTTGATTTAAATATTAAATTATTAAATAAAATTTATTTTATTTTTTAAATATTTTTAGGAACTTCGTCAAGAATTTGAAATAGAAAAAGCAAATCTTCTTGCACAATGGAAAAATGAAATTAATTTAAATAAAACAGAACAAAATGAAATTAATCAACAATTAAATCAATTAAAAGGAAATTATACAAAACAAGTACATAGTTTTTCTTTGTTATAAAAAAAAATATACTTCTATCAATAATTTTATTTTATCTAGATTGATGAATTAAAAAAACAATTAGAAAATAATAAAAATGAATATTCAAATATTCAAAAACAATTCAATGATACTCAATCATTAAATTCTGAATATAAAAAACAAATTGAAAAACTTCATTTAGATTTAGAACAACAATTAAAAACAAAAGAACAAATTCAAGTATAAGATTTTTCTTATTTTCGAACAATTTAATTCAGACAAATAAAAATATTTTTCTAGATTGAATTTGATCATTTAAAAAAACAATATCATGATTTAGAAATCGGTTCAACAAATGAATTAAAAGATAAGATAGAAAAATTAACATCAGAAATAAATGAAAAATGGTCAAAAAAAATTAAGTAATACATCTAAAGACGAAATCAAACTTGTTATTTTTTGGAATATTTAACTTTTTTTTTTTTTTAATTTATATAGATCAGATTATGAAAAAATTCGAAAAGAACTTACACAACAAAAAGATGAAGAAAGATTAAAAGCAATTGAAGAATTACAAAGACAAAAACAAAATGATTTAACATTAGCACGAAATCAAATAAATGAACTTGAACAACAAGTAAATTAAATAAACGAATTTTAGAAATAGTTAATAGGAAATTAAAATTATTTGAAAGAAAAGTCGAAATCATTTCGAAACTTTTTTTTTGTATTAGGATTAAAGATATTTCCCTTTTAAAGATATAATTGTTTTCTTACAATTAGTCATTATACAGGCAAAAAAAAAGTAGTGTTTTATTGAGACTTTCACTTCTAAAGGAACAATTTAAAATTTTGCTAGGGCGAACATCTATCTTTTGGGAGTACAGACACACTGTACGCGATATATTAACAACAAACGCGGTGAGAGCCAATTCAATTTTCGAAGAAGAACTACCCTCTAGATAGAATCTATCCAGTTCAAAACTTTCGGACTCTCACCCAATCGAGTCCGGGAGAAATTCAACGGGTTCTACCTCTCGATCTTTACTCTGGATACAATACTGAAAAATATTCAAATAGAGATTTTAATTTGATTTGACATCGACATAAGAGTTTGCAAACTTTACAAAAATTAAATGCTTCTTTCCTTTTGAATTTCAAGATTTCGAGAAAAGAAACGAGTCAATTTTATGAAAATTTTCAATCTATCATAAAAATCATCATGTAAATATGTAAACAGAATTTAAATGAATATTTTATTCTCTTCCAGATAGTAGATAATATTTGAAGAATGAGATATGCAACTTTTTCAAAGATTACTGAAGTTCATCTGTACCACTGAGATACAACTGAAAATCGAAATGACAATGAAGACTTCTCTTCTCATCAGTCTCAAACTGATTCAGACTAACAATCAGCTGATAGAACTAGACATGCATCAAAGCTAAACAGTTCGAGTTTAGTGCATATCTATTCCATACGAAATTCGATTAATGAACCATGAGAGAAAGAATTCTGAGAAAAGAAAAGCGCCAGTTTTCGAATCCTATAGGACTGTATGAAGATTAGTTTTTAAGAGTACTATCTTAACAAGTACAAATCCTACATTAAATGATAGACGCCGAATTTCCGACGACTCTCTTTTAAAAAGTTATATGCATAACAAAAAAAGGAAAAAAACGAAACTTATCATAGTATTGATAAAAAACGCACTTTTTTTTTTAGATTTTTTGTCATGCATATAACTGTTTGAAGGATGGCCTTGGGAAATGTTCCAATCCCTTATTTACTGCAAGATTTTGTGCTCTTTAAGATAGGACTCTTAACAACTAACTTTCACACAGTTTCCTAGAACGGGAAAACTACCGCGTATGATTTTTTAAAAACTTTCCTCTCATAGTTCATCTAGCAAATTTTTGTACGGAATGTATTTAATAGAGAATTTCATTGGCTATTTGAATTTGAATTTAAGTTGAATCTTTGGTATTGTAGAAAAAAAAACCCATAAATATTTTGGGCTCACCCTGTTGACCAATACTATACAGCTCATAATAAAATTTAATTTCTTGCGTTCATGTTCGAAATCGTCTTTTATAAAGATGGATTACTTTATCCATAAAAGATCAAGAAGATATAACATTTTGAATTTTTTCTTGTCTCATCAGTATATGTTAAAACGATGAGTCATCTTAAAAAATGTTTTCATATTTAATTTAGTTACAACAAATACAAAGTCAACTTCTTAATCAACAACAAAAATCCAAAGAAGAAAGTTTATTGGCATTACAAAATGCTAATGAAGATAAACGTCGTACAATAAATGAATTTCAAATGCGCATACAAGATTTAACCACACAAATTCAAAGATTAGAGGGTAAAACTCAAGAAGATTTACTTCAACAAAAACTACAATTAGAAAAAGAACATATTGTAAGTTTCCAGATGTCTCTTTTATATTAAATAGACTTAAGAAAAATATTCCTTTTATAGAATCAAATAAATGAATTGAAAGGTCGTCATATGGAAGACATACGTGGCCAACAACTTGCTTATAATACTCATTTAGAAACAATTCGTGCTGATCATGAACGAACATTAGCGTTGGAAATCGAAAAACATAATGTTCAACATCAATCGAATATTGGTAAAGACATAATCATTTACTTAAGAGAGTCTCTAATTAAAAAAAAAAAAGAAATCAATTTTCGTCAAAAAAGGATTTTTGAGATAAATATATACACGTGTTTCCGAAGTTTGCTGGTGTACAAATTTATAAAAATTATTTTAATTCTCAAAGATCATTATGAGTTTTATGAATGAACTTTGAAACTATCTCTTGTAGAATTAATTCTGCAAAATCGACAAACAGTTTTCAGAGGTAATCAAACCCTGATCATCTCAGAAACACACTTTTGAGATTTCCATTGATTGAAGGATATGGGTGTCGATACTCTGTTCATTCATACTTCACACACATCTACGTCCATATCCACACTTCACACACATCTACAGTCAAATCCACACTTGCAAATTATGTTTTATACCAAGTAAAAATACCATATTTAATATGACTTATTAGTAAAAACTAATCATAGTTTTCATTATTTAAAAAAACTGTAAAGCAACAAATAAATTTCAAAAATGAATTTATGACTGTTCTATCTATATATCGTTGTTCAATGGTAAATAGTAGGATGCTGACGGTGATGTAAATATCTGTATGCAAGTGAAGACAAGGCCGATATATCACACTCAACACCTAAACCGGTTCACATCAATCAGAGCTGTAAGAAATACACTTCAATAACCAAATCGTAGAATAAATTTGCAATTCACTCATATATGCACATATAACGCTTGAACAATAGACGTGAGCAAATCAAAAGAAGAATGTTTTAACCATTCAATTCTAGCAGTCTCATGCTATGAATCAGTCTTTTTACACCTTATTTTTCACAATTAAATTTTTTCTTTTATTTGTTTATCCATTAATTTTTTACTGCGATGTGCATCGTACGAGTACAGTGTAATGTACATTAATAGGTGTATTTCGATTAATATATAATATATTTATGGTTCACCTTCATTTTTAATAATAGGGTATGAACTATAATTTTTTAAGCATAATAAAGCCTAGTGGTCCCAAAAAATTTGAAACCAAGAACTGAAATTGGAACTGTTTTTTTCAGTTTCTCCTATCTGAAGCCGAAAATCTTTGGAACCAAAACTTTTAATTGACTGTCTGTATCATCTACATTTCTTTATTGTTCGATGATTTTTCAAGAAAAAAAATTTTCATTTATTCACTACACAGAATTCTGCCCGTAACGCAAAATGCTAAGCAAATAACTTATTCACTTCTACTTCTAGTAGGAGTAAGCATATATATGTCGTGCCGAAGTTAGACTTCTTGCCGAAGTTATAACTTCGACAAAATTTTTGCCGAAGTTAC